ATATCTAAATTTATTTTTTGAATTTATATTGATTAATATTGCGAAGTTTATATACAACTTGCCGATGCACAACAAAAGACTGATTGACTCGTCCAAGTATATGACTGAAGTGGATCAAGTGATGACACTCGGCGGGTGCTTAGACAAGAACTTGGAAAGGAAAAACACTTGCCAAGTTCTTGTTTCAAGTACTTACTAAATGAGGAAACTTGGCAAGTAATCAAATACTGGCTGGCATCAAGTACATTCATTAAGAAAATTTTAACAGGAAAATGATGAACACTTGCAATTTTTAACGTTTTGTAGAGAAAATTGTGACTTGTCTATCTATGAACCGAGAATTTTAAATGATCCTGATCTTTTTGGTGAGGTTGCCAACTGCTGAAAGAAACTTAGAAATTTTCCTTTCTCAGTCGTGTAAGAAAAAGCCATTCATCTTCTGCTTTCATTACTTCATTCAAAATAATTCAGAATGAGTAAAAAGTTTTAGAATATATTAGTTTTTCACTATCTAATGGGAAATTACGCAGGTTTCTAGTAATTTCCCATCAAAAGCTATCAGAAAGACATTCTGATCCACTATATTTTGAAATGTTCATAAAACAGGTAAACATTAATACATTTCTGACGGCGCGTTTCTGACGGGTGACGACACAAATGTTTGGTAAAGTTGATGAAAATCTTTTTTTACGTTATATACAAAAAAAAAATTAAAACTACATCAGTCGATAGAAGCGAGCGCGAACTACATTTTGGTAAAAAAAATAATCTTGAAAAGTTTCTTTCCACAGGGTGAAAACGCGACTTTAAGCTCAAAGGGCCTTACTCTTCAGTTTGACTATTCAATCTTAGGAATAAGAGAGTGGAAAAATATTCTGGTTAAGCCATTCGAAAAAGTATCAAAAACTAAGATAAATGTAGTCTGGAAGTTAAATTAAGGAATTTGATCCATCTTTTAATCGAGAAATTGACATCATTGAGAAACATACATAGACGGACAGGTCAAAGCCATTTTTTGAAATCAATAAACACTTAGCCTTAACATCAGCAGTTAGATCACAAAGCTTTATTTTGACATGATGACGTCTAAAATCATTTTTTGGTACAATAATAAAAAATGTGCCGGAGTAGTTAAGCAGAAGAGTAAGGCCCTTTGAACTTAAAGTCGAGTTTTCACCCCATGGAAAGAAACTTTTCAGAATTATTATTTTTTACCAAAATGTAGTTCACACTCGCTTCTATCGACTCATGTAGTTTTAATATGTTTTTCGTACTTATAAGTAAAAAAAAGATTTTTATCAACTATACGATAAATTTTGCCGACTTGAATAAGCTTACTTTTTAGTCTGATGGGTCTACAAAGAGCAACAAGGAATATTTCTAACTTGTTTTTTTGAAAATATAATAGAGAGAAGACAATTTTTCGATGCAAACCGCTTGTTAAAAGCTTTTCTTTCTTATCGAGTTAAGATCAAAAGAAAAAAAATTTACAATATACGGAAAATTTGTGCTGCTACTGTAGCTAAAATCATGAAACGTTTCTTTTATTTCAGTTTACTTCCAGCTGTACCGTAGTCATTAATTTTTCAGTTTTAAGGGTATCTAATCGTTTGTTTTTGCAAAAGAGTAAAAGAATATTGTATAGAAACAATTTTACTGAGTGTATCAAAATTGTTCAAATCGACTTTCTTGTCATCCGTTGCGACGTGAGTCGCTGAAATAATTCACGGTGGGATCACATAATGCGTTTGCTGTAAGTCACGCGAAATAAGATGCGATTTTCTACGATTGTGGTGTGGGTTGAGCGAATGTAACGCGGTCGTGAAGCAATAACCGTGTATCCATCGCGAATGAAGCTAGAAAGTCGACTTTTAGGTGATTTTAGGGACCCTAAATTAGAGTTAAAACGCACTTTTACATTGAAGAGTTGAATACCTATGCCTTTCACAATGGAAACTTGGACTTTAATTAATTTAATGTAGTTAATAAAATTCTATCCTTTTATATGCACAAAAAATCTTCTTAGTTAAGCGATATATTTCCATGTGAATGTCAGGTGACATATTCTTCAAACGGGGATGGATCCTTTCACTTGCTTTCTCAGTGTTTACTTCGAAATTCTATTAATGTATCTCGGTTTCGTAAAACATTAACTTAAAATACAATGATTACGGATACTCTTATGTCGAGATGTTCACTTCTATTTTTGAAGAAAGAAAAAAAATTGTCGTTAGCTTTAAAAAAATATATATAGAAATAATTCTCTTTTTTTGAGTATTTCAGTACAATTTTTATTGTTGTTCAGATTCGTCTTGCCAAAAAATATAGCACCAAATATCCTCATCTCCCGTGTTATTTGATGATGGAAACAATCGAAGATTTTTTATAAGAGCAAAGCATAATCGCAAGACGCTTCTTCTACTTTTTGCGCACACTTGTTCTCTGGAGAAAATAAATAAATAAAATATCTCTACGAAACTACTGTTATTTAACGTTTTTCGTTCAAGCGTAATAGAATTTAAAGAGACAGAATCATTATTATCGCATGATTGTAGGAGATCGTTTAATAATTTTCAAATATACATGACATGCGAATATTATTCTCGCATGATTATACGAGATTATTTAATAATTTTCAAATAATACCGTTGGTATTATTGCATAGTTTATAATTAATACATTTATCGTCTTATATAGAAGGCTCATGTTTCAAGTCATCATGTTATCATGTCATAATTGCTTAACTTTTATCGACGAAGTGGATTAAAAAGTTAAAGTTTTTCACAAGATTTTTTTATTCAATATTAATGTGAAACTTGGCTTAAATTATTATATTTAGTAATTTTATTCTTCAAGAGTTTGAACATGTTCAAAAAAACTATGACGTCAAATTTAAGAAGGTGTATGCTTTTGTTTTTATTATTTCTTTTTACAGTCGTAAATCATTAGTGCTGTATTCGTTTTTTTCATAATTAATATTTTTTTTTCTTGTTTTGTTCCTATTCTTCATAATGCATGAACCATTTTACTTTGATAATTATAAACTTTTCTCATTTATTCTATATTCGTATCATAAATGTTTTAGAAAAAGAAAAAATTTTTGTGTTTGGTTTTGCTGATAATCATAAAACTTTAAAAAGCGTCAGACATATAGACACACATATTATGGTTTAAACATCAAGTATCTTACCTAATGACACATTTTATACGATCTCATTATTGAAGCGAAAAACGGTCGATAGAAACATGAGAGACAAGAGTAGTCGAATTCTTTTTATTTCTCCTCTGTACTAAACAAACAACTTTAACAATCAGTAATCTGAATGGTATAATATTAAATATTATTTTAAAAAGTTAATTAATATATTTTATTGTTTTATTTAGCTAAATTTGAAACAATATGACAACAGAATCATCACAAATTTTAGAAAATAACAACAACATATCATCACTTTGTGCCGGTAAGATTTACTATTTTTAATTTATTTGTACGAGAAACTGTAAACAAATTGTTGATCTATATTTCAAACAAACTTGGTTAATCAATAAAAATATAAATAGTATTGATAGACGCTTCTATTTAACAGAGTCTCCTCACTATCGTATGTGATGAAATAGCGTAACATGTCAAAACTTATTTTTCGTTGAAAACAAAACTTCTATTTTATTCCAGGACACACACATCTGCACATACCTGACAGATTGTTTCACATCGTATTTCATCCGACAGAAAAGAGATTGTATACATGATTGTACCCTCCCCTCCTCCCTCTTTTTGGGCTTTCTGTAGAAATGCTGTGAAATAAAAACTAAAACTCACTAAGGCTTCATATTTTCAGAACTGATTGAAATTCAATGAAGCACCTTTTCATTTTTGTTTCAAGTTTTTAACTATTGCCGTTCACCAGTTTTTCATTGGGCCACATTACGATCCCCTTAAATTTCATCCGATCGAGTTAAAAATTTTACTAGAGGTACTCAAGGTCATATCGCAGAGGTATTTCTTTGGAATTTTATTTTAGACCTTTCTGTACCGAGTTATAAGATTTCTAAACTTGAAAAACTTGATTTCTGAGACGTTTCTCAGTATTTTTCATAAAAACTCAACCCGAAAAAGTCTTTAAAAAATTTTCCCATAAAATATCTCTGCGATATGATCTTGAGTACTTCTGATAAAATTTCTAACTCGATCGGATGAAATTTAAGAGGGTCGTAATGTGGCCCAATGAAAAACAGAGTGGTGGTGAAAAACTGATGAATGACAATAGTTAAAAACTTGAAACAAAAACGAAAAAGTGCTTCATTGAATTCATTGAAAGTTAAGACTTTTTAAATTTTTTTTATCATGCGCTGGTAAATAGTCATCAAGTTTGTACTAATTCCCGTAGTACTGCGTGTGATAAGTAGTTGAGAAAACTGTATTAATTAAACTACACATTTCATTGTAAGATTAGAAATTTGATAAAAATGTATAATATTTTTTCAACTTTATGTATTAGTAGTATTTAAAAAACAGAAAATGCTTTGATTTTTATAACTGAATGCCATAATTATGCACTCACTCTCTTCTCTATCAAAAGTATTCTATATGTGAAACAAAATCTGAATGTTTTTTTTTTGAGAACTTTTAGGTGAAATATTTATAATTGAAAGATTTACCGTCTGAAGTATAGTTTTAGCTGTGATCAGATTTGAGATACATGAATTGTATTCAATTGAATCATATAGTAGATAACCTCAGAAAAAAAATGATAATTGAACCAAAAGATGTCAGCTATATGAATCTATGTCTTTTTTAGATAAACTTGTTGATGAAATATTGCAAGGAAAATCTGGACGCATTATTTGGGGTGTATTTCAAATATTGTTGATGTTCCTTGGTGACATTGGTATAAAAAAAACTTCATTTATTGTCTTTAAACTTTGCTTATGTATTGTTTATTTCTTCTCCTCTATTAATAGGCAATTTGCTTACATTAATTGTTTTAAATCGACGATTGATGAGAAAATGCGGAATTAATAATTTATTACAAGGCCTAGCTGTTAGTGATATTATTGGTATGTATTTTTTGTTTTAAAATATTATGCCATATTCGAAATTATAAATAAATTTTAGCTCCAACCATCGCTACAATACCATTAATCATTTACTATTATGCTAGTAACAAAGTAACAAATGAACATGTCATTGCATTCGTTATGCCACTGGCTACTGCAGCCACTTTTGCGAGTAATTGGATCGTTGTAACAATAACAGCATTTCGTTTACTTATCGTTGTCAAACCCTTATATTCACAGGTCTACTGTTCAAGTAGAAATGAAAAAAAAGCTCTCATTATCATATTTATTTCAAGTTTATTATCCATTACACCTTATTATTTCCATTGGTATTTTATGTTTAGTTCTCATATTCAAAATATAATTAAACTAATGTCAGCTGTTTTATCTTTGCTCGGTCCATGGGTAGTATGTGTCATTTTATGGTTGATATTACTTCGTGTAGTTGGTCAAGAAATTGGTGAAAAAAATGCATTAACGTTAACACTACATTCTGAAGTAATTGCTCAACGTATTCGATCAAAATCAAAAATAACAAAAATGGTATTAATCATTTGTTTTTGTAATATTGTTTGTCAATTACCTGTTCTCATACGAACACTACTCGATCTACTTGACACAGGTTCATGTGGTCGTACAAAAACACTCTTTTTCGTCTATTTGTTATTTACATCAAATTTATTATTGATGATTAATCATAGCATTAACTTTTTTATTTATTCAGTAACAAATGCCAGATTTCGTTATGCAATTAAAATCATGTGTCGACGTTGTTTCTGGTTACAAAAAACACGTCATCAACGACAATGGATGAATATTGACAATAACACCCTTAAAACGGCAAAAAAATCTCTTCGACGAACACATTCAGTATCAACATTATCGCTTAGAAGTAAAGAAAGTGTAAAATTTTCGGCTATATTAAAAACTCGTTGATAATCATTTAACATTCCTTGTTTAAAATATAAAATGTTGATTTACAGAACATAATGTTATAGTGAGAGAGAGAGAAACATAGAATTGTGGCACCAACAAGAGAGTAGAGTCTATTTTTGAACGCGCCGCGTTTACTGCACAAAGTCGTACGTTTCTTATGCATGAATCATCGTTTGGTTGGTAGACAATATTCATCATCTTTTTATTCCCTGTGAATCTATTAAATAGTCGACAGTCTCTCTGCGGAACTGTTGTGGAGAGGATAATGGTACCAGGAGAGATAAGTAGTACTGAAACAGTGAATAACGTCTCTTTTTCCTGATCTTCTTGTTATTTTCTGCTTTTTTTCAAGCTAAATACAATATTTTGCAGAGATGTAGAAGTTTCAGTCGTCACCAGCTAATAAAGCTATAATATAAATGATCACCAAAATTTTCAGCATGATCTCACATTTTTATTTCTCAACAAAGTATAATGTACAACAACACAAACATATTCACTGAAATATTAACCAAATGAACAATATTTTCACAGTTTTATTTATATCTATTTACAAATTTAAAGCTGTGCTAACTTTCTTAGGAGGCCCTTTTGCTTTTCATTTGCCTAATGGTTGAATACATCAGAAAATCATTGAATGTATCATTGGCTAGATATTTATCGTTCTCGTCAATGACTTACATTCAAAGATTTTCTGGTGTGACAACAATCCTGTTGGCTTGTTGTACCATTAGAATCATGTAGCTGTTCGATTGGCATGAAAGTATATTCGTGTAAACATTCTGTTGGATTAGCAATTTTATTTAACTTGTATCAAATTAGCGATAAAACACGTATTCGACCATTAGGCAAAAGGGCCTCCTAAGAAAGTTAACACAGCTTTAAATTTTGTAAATATATATAAATAAAACCGTGAAAATATTGTTCCTTTGATTAATATTTCAATGAATATGTATTGAAAAATTTGATGGTCAAAAAAATTGATACACGTAATACTGCCTACTAAGCTTTTAACATTCAATTAAGTAACTGTTCTACAGTGTATTACCGTCTAACATCTATTTTAAATGCAGTCTTAATTACGTTTTTTTATTAACACATATATATCTGAGGTACATGAACTATGATGTATTGTGAATTTAAGAAATGTGTAGCTGTAAATACGTCTAGTAGATTGCCTCTTATTTGCAGCAAACTCTACATAGTATAAGGATAACTTGTATAAGTGTATATTGTTAACCTTAATCAAGCACACTGTGATCTCCCTATGAGCTAGTTTAACAAGGTCAGACAAAGGAGATAGGTAACAAAAATGTAATTATAAGGCAAATTCATGAACAGATGTACATAAATAATAGAATATTATTTTTAAGGTCAACATAGGCTTGATCAAATAAGAGATTTAATTTATGTGATAACAAACGCAACCGTTTATTTTGAAAATTACTAATGAGATAAAATTTATTGGCACAGATTGGCATAAGCTTTTCATTATACATTTCGTTTCCGCATATTGACGTATCTCACTTAACATAAATAATAGGGGGGGAAGGTATATTTCTGCAAAATCGTGATAAAGTGGGTGACTTATTCAACGGTGAGGATCCTATGATCAACGTTTCTCAGCTAACCACTACGATAGATATACTATTCGATAGAGAATTTCTCACCCTACAATTTCATACACATAGCATAGGGAAAAAAGTGTCCTAGGGCACCTTGATATTAGAAATATTTCTGCAAAGCCATGATAAGTGGGTGACTTACTCAACAGTGAAGGTGAAATAGAGAGAAATTACGAGTATTTTCAAATTTTCTTCCATAAAGAGAAATTTTTTAAAACTTAAAATACACATCTACACATCCAGCCTTGTATAAGAAAATGGGAAACAAAAATTTTTTGCTATTTCTTTGAATTTCCGGCATCTTGCCATCCAGCATCATTATGATGTTAAGAATTGTCAAGAACTCGCTACTTTATAACTTTACATTTCGGTTTCATTCGAAAACTTTTGTATAAAATGGACTAGTGGTATTTGATCAAATAGAACAGCGGTGTCTCGTCTTTTGAATCTCGCCAGTCTTTTTAGAAATGAATGTACATAAGAAATAATAAAAAGTGATTGACATCTTTATATACGGTTTTAGTTTAGTACTCTCCAGCCAACGAAAATTCATGGCATTAACACTGACAAAAAAAAGACTAGAGTAAATAATGAGTGACTTCGAAATAATGGCACACTAGCGTTTTCTGCTTTTTAAGTTAAGTCTGAAGATACACTATTTCTATTGATAAAAGCCAGAGCAACTTGTACTATAAACCTAATATTTTCTCTAGACTAAAACGTTATTTCCTCATTGAGAATAATTATAAAGAGTAACGACATGTACAAGCTTTCGATGTAGAATCTCACAACTCTCGCGCTGGTTGAATTGCCAAGAATCTATTTAAATTAGCTAAAAAATTGAAAACCTATGGATGATCTTCAATATTTAACGAATTTGACGTAATCAAAATGTCACAAATCTCAGATCTTTAGGTTTACTATAACTTTCAGTCAGTAATGAAAGTATTGATCAGTGTTCTTATCAATGTTTAAATCAAAAATTCGAGGTAAAAACGGATCGTATATCCAATGAGTAGCAACGATGTGCATAATAATAAGAATGCGTATAAAATTCAAATTAGTTATAATACGTGCCGTCCCAATGTTTACTATCGTAACAAAAAATCAAAGGTAAAGTATGAAGTTTCAATTAATTAAAAATCTTCCAGAATTAATGTGCCTCTGTGAAATTTGATCATCATTTATGACATCACTTATACACCAAAATGAGGTGAAAGAAAGAAAAGGAACAAATTGACAAATTAGGCTAAATAAAAACTATACATTCAGAGTATAACGCTACTACTATTGTCTTTTCTGTTGAACTAATGTCTTTACACTTTATAGTTATTTTCAATAAGGAAAACAACGTTTTAGTCTAGAAAAAATATCAGATTTATAGAACACCATACTTCCAATAGATTTATTTCAGTAACTCAAGAAGCAGAAAACAACAGAATGTCATTATTTCGAAGCCGTCTATTAGACAAAAAGGAAGAACACTAGCATATATAAAATTATAGAATCACCAGCAGCATTGCACTGAATAGATAAAAATAATCACATATATAGCTTAAATCTTATACAATAATATATCTCTACCTAAGCAATCTGATAAATAAATCAATATAAAATGCGATAAAAAAAAAACTAGGCATAAATTACATGAACGAAAAAATCATATTTTTACAAAAGTATTAACATATGACAAAATTTATTTTTGAGCAAATTTTCACGATTTTTATAGTCAAACTGACCTATAATAAATAAATTTAATGATCTGGGTAGCCAGGCATTGGAAATTTTTGTGCAAATTGAATCACTTTATCAGCCAACGTCTTTATATTCGCTTGAATTGTTGGATCGTTTAATAGAAATTGTTTATAATCTTTTAACGTTTCTAAAAAAACAAAGACGAGAAATAATATAAAACTACACAGCGAAAAAGCATACTCGTTTTTTCTTTTGCTTGTGATGAAATTAGTATAGCTTCATGTAAAAATTCAACTATTTGTTTAAAATCATCCTCTTTCAAACCACGAGATGTCATTGCCGGCGTTCCAAGACGAATACCGCCCGGGACCATTGCACTTTTATCGCCAGGTACAGAATTTTTATTTATTGTAATATGTGCCAATTCACAAACTCTTTCAACTCTTGCACCATCCAAATTATTGGGTCTTAAATCGAGAAGAAGGACATGAGTGTCCGTACCACCACTCACAATAGCATATTGTCTATTAGTTAATGCTTTTTCCATAGACTTAGCATTTAATAGGATTTGCTTAGCATATTGTTTAAAATCCGACGACATTGTCTAAATTTTTACTATATAATTGTCGATATTATTTGAATAGAAGAAATATACCTCTTTTAAAGCAACTGCTACGCCGGCTATTTGATGGTCATGCGGGCCGCCGTATAACGATGGAAAGACAGCAGAATCTATTTTTGATTGATAATCATATAGAATATCTTCGCCTTTCTTGTCTTTACTCTTGACGCCAATTCGATAAAATATAAGACCAGATCTAGACAAACGTAAAACACAATTGACCTATTGAGAAATATATCATTAACTGTAGCAAAAAAGACGAATACCTAACGCCTCTTAATGATTTGTGTGTAGTCGTTGTAACCTGCAAGAAGACAATATTCATATCAGATATTACACAGTAATATAAAAGAGCAGCGAAGTGGCTTTTTGCAGTTCGTCTGCAAAGTTCAAGTTTGGGTGTTCAATCCTCGCTTCGTGCAATTGATTTTATGTTTTGATAGTTTAACTTTCAGAATGATATAAAAATGGGAATTTATATTCTCGATTTTGTTCTAATTCAAAATTAAAGTTTAAAACATATGAGAAGAAAAAGATATAAAACATACCACATCGGCAAATTCAAACGGACTTGGTATAACTTCTGCAGCTATTAGACCGGCAATGTGAGCTACATCACACATTAGAACGGCACCAACATCATCACAAATCTACAGAAACAAAAAAAAAACGAGCTCAGTATCTTCAAAGCGATCTTGAAAATCAATGTATCCATACTTGACGGAATTGCTTGTAATCCAATAGTCTGGAGTAAGCTGATGCACCTGAACATAGGTAAGGATGAAGAGAATTAATTAAAATTCGTACACATCTTCTGCTAACGAGTTTCAGAAATTTCTTACAGTAGCTCAAAAAATGAGAAAAATATGACTAATATTGAAATAATTCCTACCAGCTATGATTAATTTTGGTCGGAATAATCTTGCTGTTTTGTGCAACATTTCATAGTCGACTAATCCAGTTGTTTCCTAGTTAAGAAAAAAGATGTTCAAATTCTTAGTTAAAGTAACGATTTCTAATTACATCTAATCTATATGGCATCGACTCAAAGTATACGGATGTGGCTGAAACACGCTTAATGTCGGTCATGAAACCATGCGTTAGGTGACCACCATGAGGTAAGTCCAAACCCATCAAACGTTCATGTGGTTTCAAAAGGCCCGTATAAACAGAAAAGTTGGCTGGACTGCCACTAAGTGGTTGAACGTTGGCACCCCATTGTTTTGGGTCTAGGTGAAACGCCTTCAACGCTCTGTCACGACATAGATTTTCAACTTTGTCCACTACTTCATTTCCTCCATAATAGCGGTGACCAGGATACCCTTCACTGTACTTGTTATTTAAACACGATCCCAATGCTTGTAATGCTGCTCGACTACAAAAGTTCTAAAACAAAACGAGAAAAACATCTGGTTGAAATGATACTTCTCATGGTGATTCGTTAACCTCAGAAGCAATCAGTTCTATGCCAGATATCTGCCGTTTTTTTTCTTCTTTAATTAAATTCATTATTTCTGGATCAATTTCATTTAGCGACTCATTTCCAGTCCACAGATGACGACAAAACAATGTCGAAGGTTTTAACTAAACACAAAATTAATCGACAATTTTGTACATATAACAGCCTTGATGAACTAATTTACCTGTGAACAACGTACGGAATGCTGAACTGTATTTTGTAGAATATTTTTCATAATTTTTCAGAAAACAAAGGAAAATCAAATTTAGAAGATATAAAAGTAAGAAAAAGTATATAATATAAACTCTGCCGTCTCATGCTAATAACTTCAGCAAAAAGAAGGCTCAAAACGATCTAACCTTCATTAGAAAGATGTCCTCACTAAATATTTTTAAAAGTGCTCGTTTCTCCTAACAGCATCAGTAATCCTAATTTGTTTCTACTGTCCTCTTTCTTTAGCAAAATATTTTCCTTCTATTTCAGTCAAAGATAAACTCACAGGTGCAGAATCTTCTGATGATTCTGAACATTTTTTATAGATGATAAATTTTTTTATAAATTCTATCTATAATTTAATTTGCTTTTTTCATATCTCAGTCTATGAGTAGATTAAAAGCTCAGATTTGGAGTATAAGCAGTTGAGGCTGAATACTATCTGTAACTAGAATTATATGTAAATTCGATAGGACCAACTCGATGATAAAAAAATAGACTTCATAAATCACTATACGAACGATATAGATAAATTGCACGTCAATAATTTAGCATAAAAACGCAGTTAAAATTTGATTTGACAAAATCACTCACACAACGCATTCGGCGGCACTACTATATTGTACGAATTGAACTGTAACTTTCATTACAGACAAAATCAGAAAGTTATACAAAGAAAAATGTAACTGACGAAAAAAGCTCTACCGGTTTCTCCATAGATCCAACGGCAGTATTCGAAGTAACAAAGCAGCATACATTAATTGTCTGGATGCTTTAGAAGGCATTGTATGAGAAAAACACCTGAAAAATTATACAAGTGTTCAATAATACTCTCATATTACAGAGAATGTTGCTCAACTCTTGTGCGGAATATTCTCGAAGTTTCAGATCGACTTTTCCTTTGGTTCCCAAAAAAAGCCATCGGTACTAATCCCACTAAAGTTTTCTTAATGGTCCACTTTTTTTGGATAAGGAGATCACCAAGAATCGTGTACTATATATAAGTCATTAGTTCCCAAAACATTTTCTGGTTCCTATTGTAGGATCAACTAGGTTTTTTGTATGAAACTGAATGAAAATGATACTTGACAGACGTATCATCTTAAGATATTTTCAAAAGTCTCATCTGATGATAGGATGTGTCCGAACGTAATTTTGCCCTTAAAGTACAGATCTTTTCTGAAAAAGCTCTTTTTTTCTGCCCGAAAAAAGTATCCCAAATATCAGACATTTTTTCTTGAACGAATATATAGTAGTCAGATATGAAGTAGTGATTTATATATAGTACACAATTGTTGGGTAATCTGGTCAAACGTTTTTCTCCAAATAATATCAATGAAGTTAACACTATCATGATAACCTTTCGTAGACACATAAAGATAACATGTTCAATTTATTTTCAAAATAAATATCGAGAACCGAAAAAGGTTAAAGAAATAAAAGCGACTTGTCTATAACTCTATTTTATTTTTGCAATACAGAACGAAAGAAAAGATAGATAAATACAATTAAAAAACACAATTTCATCAGATTTACAAATTTTTTAGTAGTAAAATGTCTAAAATAAGAGAACAAATTATGCTTAGAAGCAAGAGATCTCCTCTAGAATCTTGAAATAGATATCTACTGTAGAGAAATTTGACAAAAATCACATTATCTAACTGCTATAGCACGCTGTGATAGAAATGGCATACCTGTTATGATTGTAGATGATAATACTTCAGCGACAACTGAAGAATCTTTTAATGATGATGATGATGTTGCAAATACCAACGATAATTTAGATGCAGAAGAACCTGATGAAATAGTTACAACAACTGTTTTTGACATTTCGTTAACAAACGGATAAATTTTCTGGATTTTATTTCACTTTTCTTCTTTTCATTTGATTTTCTATCCGATGAACTTGATATATGGCGATGTTTCGATTTACTTTTGTTTTTGTGATATTTTTGATTTTTTATTCTTCTTACTTTTGGAATGAGAATGTGAACGTTACTGTCTGATATTAAAAGATTTTATTGTCTGAAAATAAGAGGTTCCACCATGTCGAGATGATGATTTTGATCTAGAAAGTCGTCGTTTGATTGTTGATGAACTATAGGATAAATTTAAGTAATGACAATGATATTTTGTCGATAATTCAGAAGATTTCGATCTTAAACGTTTTAAAGAGCGACGTGAACTTCTACTATTTGATCTGTAGTAGTTATTAGTATTACTAGTAGTACTAGTAGTTATTGCTAAATGATCTTTGACACTTAACAATTTTTCAACAAGAACTGGGTTAATCTAATCTTTTGTTATGGTACTGGTAACAGTGGTTTTGTTTTCAATCATATTAGCATTATCAGGGACAGTAGAAGGAAATTCTAAATGTTGATTTTTTGATTTAATTAATTGAATAAATATTTCCACTTTCGTCTTCCGTTCTTCCTGTTTTTCTGTGCTTTCCTAAACTAATTTATCTCGAGCACATAAACTTAACCGATCTCTTCTATGTTCTTGTTCAATATGCTGTTGACGAATTCTTTCCAGTTCCATGAGATGTGTGGACAAAGTGTTTAAAGACGAATTGACGAATCGCAACTTTTAAGCGTAAAAATGATGCAACAATTCGCGTTTTACCCTTATGTTGCGAATTCGTACCGAATTGATGCGAACTGTATCGAATTCGTACGGATACTCTT